CAGCGTCAGATGAATTTGGCATAGACAAGACCACAGAAATAATAAATGAAATCTACAACAGTGGGGATATACCGGAAGATCTCAGGAGATTTATTTTCATAGCACTGTCTAAGAAATCAGACACAAAAGAATGTGACCTTCACCGAACAATCAGCCTAATGAGCCACATAACAAAACTCATCATCCGTATCCTGTTGAATAGAGCGCGCAGGCCAGAGATAGGACAAGAACAGTGCGGGTTCGTTAAAGACATAGGAACAAGGAACGCGATATTCATGCTCAGAATGTTATCAGAAAGATCAATACAAATGCAGAAGGACGTACCTATGTTTCATAGACGACGCAAAGGCCTTCGACAAAGTACGCCACAAAGATCTGTTGGAACTGCTCAGCAACCATGGCATATTTGGGAAAGATATTAGAATAATCCAGAACTTATACTGGCAGCAAAGCACCTGCATACAGATAGAAAATGAGCTCAGCAGATGTACAAAAAAAAAAAAAAAAAAAAAGAAAAAGAAAGGGCGTAAGGCAAGGGAGTGTCTTCTCACCAGACTTATTCAACCTATACAGCAATTCAATTCTGAGAGAACCAGAAATCCTACCAGGATTCATCATTGGCAGGCAGAATCTTAACAACATAAGATACGCAGATGACACAGTGCTGATAGCAGATACGGAAAGTAAACTACAAAACCTCCTACAGAAGGTAACGAAGGAGAGCTAGAAGAAGGGACTAAGCATAAATTACAAGAAGACAAAATTCATGGTCATCAGTAGAAGGATGAGCCCAAAATGCGATTTACAGGTCGGGGATACTAAAATCTAGCAGGTGCAGAAATTTAAATATCTGGGAAGTATTCTTGGCATTGGACGATGCAGCTTTTTTTTAATATTAATCCGCGTATATAAACAAACACTTGCATAATATATTCCAAGTATTATGTGTATAATAATCATAAATAATAATAAACCTTCACAATACATCATAACAACATTATTAAATAAATTTAAATATATATAACACAAAATATATTTATACGATTCTTTACGCTTCATTAAAGCATTTTTTATAAATATCTTGCATGTTTGGCAGGTACCGTAATTCCCCATGTATAATACGCCTTCATGCATAATATGCACCTCTAAAATTGTGTTCAAGAGCGGGAATAGTAAGAGAACACCATTCATCGGGTGTCGAAAGGGTTCTTTTTTTAAATTTGGAGGATGACAAAGGCAACTTGGGTGTCATATCTAGATACTTGGGAACAACATTCAATCTGTAATAAATGGAGCTACCGTAATTCCCCATGTATAATACGCCTTCATCCATAACACGCACCCCTAAAATTATGCTGAAAGTGTGTGAAAATGATTCTACTCACTAATAATACGCACCGCTTGTTTGGTAATCAAAATTGTCTCTCTCCAATTTCATTACGGCCAGCGTTTCCTACTCTTATTTAAAGAAATGGTTTTAAACATAGAATAATATGATTCTCATTTAGTTTTATGATAATTCTTATTTTATTTTAGGTCAATTTTTTAAAGATTTTGTGTAAATTTTTTTAAAAGATTTTTTTGCATAATACGCAGCCCTTTTTTGGTAATCAAACCCTATAAATTGTACCTCTCCAATTTCATTACGGCTAGGATTTCCTACTCTTATCCAAGTTGTAATTGAAGATATTTATCATAATTTCTGATCATCACGATTCTAAAAGAAAACGGAAATGCCTATATAGTGCCTACTGCGCAGACTCATTAACCTGTTTTTGTTCGATAAAATGTGCAGTCTACCGGATCTGTATGTAGTTTTTTCAGAGAAAATGATTATACTCATAGAATGATATTATTCTAATTTAGTTTTATGATAATTCTTATTTTACATTTGTAAGTATTGTTAGGTACATATGATTGTATTTGACATCCTTATGGGGTCGCAATCACCGAATGTTAGTGTCAAATTGTCGTATGTTTGTGGTTAGTAGTCATTTCGTAACTGAAATCGACCTATTAAACGGTAATCTTTTGAAGACTTTTGTAGCTGTGTATAATACGCTCCCCGAATTTTGCTTGTTATTTTTTTTAGGAAAAAAATGCGTATTATACATGGGGAATTATGATACTTGATAGGTGAAGAGTCTATGTGGATGTGTCACTGTAAAACGTAATCTGAATGGCTGGAAAATTGTGCCACTTGAATTGATGGTAAATAAATAAATAGATGCACGCTGGTTTGTCGCCGTTACGTATTTTTAAATACATGTGAGGAAGAAACAAGCGTGTATAATAAAAAATATTAGTTTTAACCACTGAACATTTCCCAGTTTTGCTATTTGAAATTTTTGATGAATTTTAATTCTTCAGTTAATGATTGAATAAATTCATTTGTAACGTGTCTTGGGCACGTAGACCTTGTGAAGCCCCTCCCTCTCCAGCTCAAACTACAGCCAGTATCGTCCAAGACTCGCCTGTCGATTACGTCAGGGCGAGCTCTCCGCAATGGCTGTTGCCTTCACTTTAAGAATTGAATAGATGTCGCTAATGAAGTGTGTCGTCAATGTTTCTACGACGATAATAAAACACAAGAAAGACCCGTGAAAATTTTACGGTTTTCCTATTTATATTTTTGCTGAATCTTAATTCTTAAAGTAATGATTAAATAAGCTGATGATGAATTTTACGACAATAAAATTATCCGTAGAAATTCCGCTATCGAATAGTTGAATATTTGAACTTAACAACTTCAACATAATATTGCAATATAAACTATCATACATATGAAAGCTGTTCGTTATTTTAAGAAGTAAGGGGGTACAAATGAAACGATTTGAAGTTAAAACCTTTTTCTATTCCGCTGAAACAGACGTTAAACGCTTCTATCTTCCTTTCTTTTTCATTTCCCGACTGAAACCAAATAGTGTCTTTGATATGCATTTTGTCATTCCACGCGTCCAAAACGGAATCGTTAATTATTACTAGGTATTGTCACATTGTAACGTTCACGCGAACTAACGAAGGGAGGGAAAAGAACGATTATTATATGATAATTATTATTCCGAAAGAAATATTTAGAAATAATGAAACTACATGCACAAAAAGAAGGAATGCATATTTTATTTTATTTCACTAAATATGAATTTCTCTACGCAGACAATTGCTGTTTTTTGGAGGGTAATAATATCCTTCACTTTTAAAAAAAATTACTATGGTAGATATTAAAATTAAAGTAAATTGCCAAACTGAAGCTACTATTACTACTATTAATGGAAAGCTGTTTAGTGTGACATTAGTTTTCAATTCCATTCTAAAAACAGATTGCAATATTGTATAATGTGAGTAATAATAATTATTACAATAACTTATACTATAACTTGTTTATAGGTATCTAATATCCCTGAAAGGATGGCCTAGGGTTATGATATCTGACTAATGTCAAATCAGTCGGTTTTCGATCCTAGCTTAGAGCAATCGGACGTCAAACCACACCGAGGAGCTATGATACAGCGAAACATTCTGTCTCCGGAAAGTCATATATATATATATATATATATATATATATATATATATATATATATATATATGTGTGTGTATGTGTGTCATTGGCAGATTGTAATATTTCGAAACAGTCTGTGAATGACTATATATATATATATATATATATATATGTCATTCGAAGACAGTACTGTTTCGCTATATCACAGCTCCTAGGTGCGACTAGACAACTGAATGCCTCAAGCCCGGATCGAAACTCAACCAGTCTGGTATCAGTCATAGCTTCTACCACTGAGCTATATTCATTCGACAGAATGAGTCAGCCAAATCCAGCGTATTGTCTTTTTACAAAAAAGAAACAAGCGTCAAGCAACCATAGTGCTCCATTCATTTTACTGAAGAGCTTCGCATTTACGCAGGTGGCCGTTGACTTTAGAATTAGCTTGTCATTCAACAGTGCACAACTGAAAATATATTTTCAAGATCTAAATTATGTGTGTGTGTGTTTGTGTGTGGATTATATATTCACACGTTATTACAGTGGATGCATTTTATTTGAAATAGACACTATATTTTTATTATACAGTGTGTAATACATCTACCGGACTTCCCATTCGCGAAATGAGTCCCTTTTATAGGGGAAGTCTACCGTATGATACGGCATGATTTTACAGCTTGCCCACAAAAGGATCTCACAGTAAGCGAGGCTAAATATAAACATTCATTCACCGCTATAGATGTAGCGATAAACAAATATTCTACATTATTATTCAAATATTAACAAAATGTTAACAAAACAAGTAAAAAAAAATTGTTTACTTAATAATATAAATACTTACTTTTATATTTTGTTTATTTTAGGTAAATTATATTATTGACTTCGAACAAATTCGTCAAACTTAAATAGAGAACGAGAGAGACGGAGAATAAATAAATGAAAAGTTCATAGATACATATCCCGACTCAGAGTTTCGTAGAAGTTAACCTGCATTTCAAGGGCAAGATTATTATTAATATTATTATTATTATTATTATTATTATTATTATTATTATTATTATACTAACACAGTACACACATGTAGATATAGAGATCTGTTCACATATGCATATATATGTTCTCTTGTCCATTCATACGGACCTGCACACACACACACACAGACAATGTACAAACACGCACACAGACATATATGAAGACATACGTACTTGTTTAAATTGACCTCATCTTCGACTTCCTTCCTTCATGGTCATTCGTTTCATTCTACCATCCCACCCGACCTATCTGTCTTTCCCGCCACTCGCATCTACCCTGACCACGATTTCACCTTTCCGCTAGTGCAGGATGTCCGTATCCTCCTCTTTCGTGTTTCCTTTTATCCTTCTCTCCCCGACCCTCTTTAGTTTTCTTCCTATATCCCCACCACCCACGTTCCCGCACTCCTTGATAACAATGATCGCATTAATATAATCGCTGATGTCGAACATGGTAATCATGCAGATGACTAATGAAGCGGCAGACAGTAACAGACAAGTGCTGGCTAATTGTTAATGGTATATCCTGTAAGTGGGGAAACGAGAGACTCTTTTTTATCTATCTATCTATCTATCTATCTATGTTAATATCTATATCATTATGTTTTATGCATCTACATTAGTTCATTATCTGTCTTATTTATCTTCTTTCTTTCTTTCTACTTGATATCCATCTACCTATCTACTTTCTTTCTTTCAACGATGGTATCTATCTATCTATCTATCTGTCTCAGTCTATTCATTTCTGTCTTTTTTGCATTATCTATCTATCTATCTATCTATCTATCTATCTATCTATCTATCTATCTATCTATCAACTTGAGCATATCTATCTATCTATCTATCTATCTATCTATCTATCTATCTGTCTCATCTCTATTCATTTCTGTCTATCTATCTATCTATCTATCTATCTATCTATCTATCTATCTATCTATCTCAGTCTATTCATTTCTGTCTTTTTTGCATTATCTATCTATCTATCTATCTATCTATCTATCTATCTATCTATCTATCTATCTATCTATCTGTCTCAGTCTATTCATTTCTGTCTTTTTTGCATTATCTACCTATCTACTTTCTTTCTTTCAACGATGGTATCTATCTATCTATCTATCTATCTATCTATCTATCTATCTATCTATCTATGACACGCCTTTCTTTCCTTCCATCTTTCTTTCTTTCATCTTGATTATATATATCGTTGTATGGAAAATTTCACATATAAGCAAAATATATATCTATAAAAGTACAATATAATGAAAAATTACTTTAGACGACACATTTCGTCTTGAGGAGAGTAGGATAAGATAAGTTCCTTGTCTTTATTCATATCTATCTATCTATCTATCTATCTATCTATCTATCTATCTATCTATCTAAGTACGGATATGCATAATGAATAGGGGTCGGAATAAGAAATATAAGAGCTGAGTTCAAATTTCACTCAGATTCGTTGCAGTCACTACTATTGTTTGTGGCATGATTCCACCACTTCTCTCCACAGCTATGGGTTAAATAGTAGAACTTATATCTGGAAAAACACTATTATTCTTGCAATATAAAATATGCATCGGCTTTAAATAACGCACGAAGGTTGACAAAGCTTAAAAATATAATCACTCGAATCTATCTCATTTTTGTATACATCCCAATTTGTTCATTATTATCTCTATTTCTTTCTATCTATGCTACATGTCACCCCCTCTAACTCTCTCTCTCTCTCTCTCTCTATATATATATATATATATATATATATATATATAATAATAAGAAGGGGAGACTTTAATTATACATTTATAAATTTATTTCGTGAACACCGGGATGTTCAACACATTGGATCGAAACCTCTCCGGTATATATATATATATATATATATATATATATATATATATATATATATATATATATATATATACATTCGTGCGTTTAAATCTTGAATGGTATCTATCTATCTATCTATCTATCTATCTATCTATCTATCTATCTCTCTATCTATCTATCTATCTATCTATCTTTCTTTAACTTTTCTTTCTTTCTTTTCTTTCTTTTTTCTTTCTTTCAGCTTCATCATATCTATCTATCTATCTATCTATCTATCTATGTTAACTTTTCTTTCTTTCGTTCTTTCAGCTTGATCATATCTATCTATCGATCTATCTATCTATCTATGGTAACTTCTTTTTCTTTCTTTCTTTCTTTCTTTCTTTCAGATTTTCTTCTCAGATTATTTAAGATCTCAGATTATTTTTTAATAATAATTTTTACCCAATACAAGGCTCAAGAGCCATTCAAGACAGAGGGTTATTGTGTGGTATTGCATGAGCGTGAGAAAAGCAAAAAGTGTAGTTCATGGATAGATAACGATTAATCCTAGACTAAAGAGGTCGGGATTGTAGTGTTTGAGAAAATACCCTACCGGTAGTCTGTTCCACAAAACAGGAGTTTTGCGATGAAGCTGTCCGAGTGGGAGTTTCTCTTTACTAATAAAATATGTAGGGATTGGGGATATTTCACTCTTGTTTACGTGGCATTGTTCGTCCCAGTTGTAAAGGTCAGAGGTGGTGGGACCAAGGAATGTAGCTCGTCATCACACATACCATGCCAATAGCGTTATAGCGGCGATAGGCTCATGACTTTTCGTTTAGAGGAAAGAGGTTGTAGGATGGAAAATAATTAATTACCCACAAGGACGCATAGATGCTTTCGAACTCTGCCAAGTCAGGCAAGGGTGGTCTGTGAAGCTCCAGCCTAGATATGGCAGTCATAATCTGTTTTTGGTCTGATCTGGCTTCTAAACATTAAGGGGAGTCAGGACTTACTAGAATGGTACAATGAATTGATTATTTTTACAGTAACTTTAGTAACAGTTCGTATATATGAGCTCCACTGTTTTGCTAATTTTCCAGGCAGGTTTAGTTTGGTTTATTTTGTTTTACGGATATCAACCTCAATGGGTTATTTAATGCCGACAAAATTTTTATTGTCTCTAAAATTTTTTTTTTTTAAATTTATTTCTGGTAAAAATTTTCCTTCAAATATTTATCGCTGGTAATAATTTTTTTTAGAAAGTATTTCGGGTATTAAAACTTATTCTTACAGTTTTATAGCTTAGAGCTGGGACCCTAACAGATGCTACCACCCCAAGTCACGGTGGACCTGGGGACACCAGCAATTAAGAGGTGGTTCCACTTTCCTCAAAACCTCCTGACCAGAGGAGATTGCTGCTGGATGTGGTTGTAGTTTATCGTCATACCCAGGACGCGGATGTAGTTTATCGCCATACCCAAGACGCGGATTTAGTTTATCGTCATACCCAGGACGGTCAAGGCAGGTAGAGTCCTTTGGCTGATATACTTTTATCGTAAAATAGGCGTTTCTTTTTGCGGGTACAATTGTTAAACTTTGCCGACAATCGAATGTAATGTTCCGTAGCGTTCGCCAAATTGTAACATTCGTATTTTCCTTTCAAGTTATCTGCCTGACACACGAAACGAAAAGATAGTTCTTGCTCGGTGCAGAAGCCTTCAAACATAGCAACATTCCTCCATTTCTATTCTTGGCACAGTTCGAAGAAACGTTCACGTGATCTTATGGTGAATATGACGTATTTTATACAGACGGTACGTCGCAAGTCTATCATTACTATGTCGCTATTTCCATGGCAAATGTTCAGGTGAGATCCATCCATTAGTTCCACAAGTTCAGACCATTGCAGCCCGGACACACCATGCTACTTCCAGGGAGTCGAATCACCTTCATTTCCTCCGTATTCCTAATACAAGTAGAAAGTTCCATTAACAGTGGCTACTTTGTGGAACAGAGTCCCACATAGAAGCTTATCTGAATCTATTTATTTATCTTAAGGTTCTATTAACCTCTTCAAAGTCAAGAGTCAATCGTTATCTATCATTCTTATCTTAATATTCTCTGTTTACCTCCTTTTCTGTTATTCGTATCAAACACCTCGTTCTCCATAATCATTTTAATATTATACCTCTACACTACAATCTTAAACTCTTCAAGTCAAAGGTCAATCGTTATCTATCCTTCTTATATTTATCCAAATATTTTCATGGCAATCATTCCAGTGAGCTTTCCTCCTTGGAGTCTCGAACGCATGAATTTAAGTATACTAGCTTACACCATTTTACTATTGAACTAGTTAGATGCAACCGTAAGTTCTATTCATATACTTTCTTTTCTCACGCTTCTCGCCTGTGAAAGTCTTTCATTTTCTGGTTTCCTTGCAACCTACTGTCTTCAAAAGGTTAAATGCAACATCAATCGCCATCTTCTGTCTTCCTGAAACCCGTTCTTTTATTGTCCTTTCTCCTAGCTAATGTCTCCCCATTCTCTTTCCTTTCCTGTTCTGAAAGCGTAACCAACTTAAACAATAGTCAAACTTAATCCTTATTTCGATACTTGAAACTGCGCATCGGGCTGTTAAACTCCGACGTTGGGTATAGTCTCTGAATTCTCAAAACGTTTGTATGAAACGAAATATTAGAATGTTCGCATGATGTCGGCTTTTCTAAGCATTGCGCGCCCGGATAATTGAATTCCGGAAAACCGAAATACGGATAACCGACGGAGTACTGTATATTTGCTTTTCTTTATATTATCCCTTATTTTCATTTCCATGATGGACTCTCTGTTTCACTTCTTTGTTTATGTGTCAGGACATAGGCAATAATGTCTCCCTACAACTCTATATCTTTCCTGATCAAGATCGGGAATAGTAAGTGAACACCATTCACCGAGTGTCGAATTTTTTAAATTTGGAGGATGACAAAGGCAACTTGGGTGTCATATCTAGATACTTGGGAACAGCTTTCAATCTGTAATAAATGAAACTACCGTAATTCCCCATGTATAATACGCCTCCACCCATAATACACACCCCTAAAATTATGCTGAAAGTGTATGAAAATGCTTCTACTCACGCATAATACGCACCCCTTCTTTGGTAATCAAACCCTATAAATTATACCTCTCCAATTTTATTACAGCCAGCGTTTCCTACTCTTATTAAAAAATGGTTTTAAACATAGAATAATATTATTCTAATTTAGTTTTGTAATAATTCTTATTTTATTTTACATTTGTAAGTATTGTTAGGTACATATGATTGTATTTGACATCCTTATGGGGTCGCAATCGTCGAATGTTAGTGTCAAATTGCCGTTTGTTTTTGGAGAGTAGTAATTTTGCAGTTGAAATAGACCTTTGAAACAGCAATTATTTAAAGAATTTTTTGTAGTTGTGCATAATACGCACCCATAATTTTGCTTATTTTCTAGAGAAAAATGCGTATTATACATGGGGAATTACTGTAATTCTTAAGGTTTTTACGTTATGATTCACGAGCCTAGAGGGTTATTGAATTGGGTTGTCTATTAACGTTAGAATTGTGAATTTTGATCGATCAATAGCGGTTGGCCCTAGACTTGAAGAGATTAAGATTATAGCGATCGAGGAAGCACCCTCTCCGGTGTCTGTTCCACAAAGCAGCGGCTCTTGGGAAGAAGATGTCCGAAAGGAAATTCCTTCTTACCAAATATGGTTTGTACCTATGTAGATGGAATGGTGGGTCTTATCTGTAAAGATCTGAAGTAATGGAACTAGAGAATGAAGAACTCAGTAGATTTTCCATACATGATAATAATAATAATAATAAGAAGGAACGAATGAACGATGAAAAGGTAAGACAGAGGAGTCAATAATGTTCTTGTGTGTCATTCAATGAAATGGAAAGTCTTGTCAATTTTTATTCTTCCCCTTTGCTCCGTCTTCCTTAAATAATGACCTGCATTAACACCCGTGATGGTAACTGAAAAATATTGAGCTCAAATATTTAATGATGCAAGAGGAGAACTTTCATGGCTATTTTATAAGAATAAAATTCTCGTTGCAAATTCAATCGTTTCATTAAGAATTATGAGTCAAAAGAAAATTGAAATACGAAAACAGTGAAATTTTCATGATCACTGCTAAACGTTAATAGTAATACAGTAGAATCCCTGACAACGGGATTAAGAAGGCCTTCCGGATATGAGGAATTGGTTATAAAGACCGGATATAACGGATTCCGGATATAAGGGATTACGGATATGAGGGATACTAAAACGAACAAGCTGATCGCTGATGTTTCTTCATACAGTAGAATCCCTAACAACCGGACTTAAGGAGGTCTTCCGGATATGAGGAATTGGTTACAAAGTCCGGATATGAGGGGTTATATTTAGTTTAAAATAAAAGAATTGAAATCAGGTTTAACATTTATTTCCATTGTTTTATAGTAAACAAAATAAGCTAATGGTGAGTGAAATATAAGGGAACTGATTTTAAGGAAAAAGAAATAAATTATGTAATATTAATGAAAATTCATTAAATTATGCCACGT